AATGTGGGGGAGATTTTGTGTGTGTGTGTGTGTGTGTGTGTGTGTGTGTGTGGCACAGTGAAATAGGTTCTCTGTGATTTTTAGTTGTAAGTAAACAGCAGCTACACTTCTACCACATATTGCAATATTTCAGTGGTGGGAGGCAGGGACCCCTGAATATAGAATTTATTGAGCTTTTTCCCACCTTTTTTAAACTCTGAGAAAGCTACTAGAAAAAAGAAAGCACACCAACGTATGTGTTGCTTCATTGAATATACCAGTAGTTCCTGCAGAGTTTTTAACAAGCAGGTGAAGAAGTCAAATGCCCCTGCAAATACATTTTGCTCTGGTTTTAAAAAAAAAAAAAGTCAGCATTGCTCTCCAGCTGTCCTGCTAAACAATGGTGGGAAAGCAACAGGAGAAAAAAAATGTCATTTTTCTACAACAAGAAAATACTTAACTGCTTAAGTGAAGTCCGACTGGTGACAAAACCTCTTCATTGCTGTGTAACAGCAACCTTCACTGTTGCTGTGAAGGACATTAATGATTTTTTCTTTTTTCACCAGTAGAAGTGATTTGAATGATGGAGTCTGGAAACAAAGATATTCTTAGACATCCAGCATGTGAGGCTATAAAACGTATAGCTTTAGAAGCCACTGACCATCTAATGGCTGTTTGCACTGGAAGTGTTTGAAGAGGTATAAGCTTAAGTGTTTATTACAATAGCACTCATTTGCCCAAGCAATTCAAGAAAATCATCTTGAAGGACCATCATGAGTTTTGCAATAGCTCAGCTCAGATGTCAGTAGCCGTGAAGGAAAGTCTGCACTGTGCTAAAATGAGGACATTTTGCATAATTGCATTGCACAAATGCAAGACAACAACATAAAGCTCATTAATTAACATGTGGAAATTGTGGGCTTTTATCATCAGTCCTCACTTCTGCCATCACTCAGCAAGTTATGTGAAGAATAGCTCTTGAATACAGATTAAAATTACAGCCATTCTGACCACATTCTGTAATGTTCCAAGTTGTTTCTGGAATGCAAAGTACAGACTTTGCAAACTGTAATCAGGACCACTACAGTTCTGCATCAATTTATATTTGGTTGTGACGTGCTGTTAGGGGACCTCTTTGCCCATCAATGCACAGAGCAGGAGAGCAGCAGCAAAAGCAATAACAGCCCCGGGTAGAGAACAGAGAAGGCATCTGCAACAACAGACTTTGGATAGAGTTACTGTAAGTGTCAAAGTGGCTTGTAGCCACAGCAGCAACTATAGGCACGCTAAAGCAACTTAAAAATGATATGTGCCAATTGGATGCATGGGAGGATATCAACTGAGGGCATTTGTGAGTCTACCAGAATTGCAGGCACATCTGTTACATGCATATTTATGAAGATCTGTTCAAGACCTTTCCATATATCTTGCTGACTGATGGCTGAAATTCAGTGCTTTTATATGCATATATAATTGTATTTTTTTATAAATCTGTATAAAGTAACTTGTACACATTGCCAGGATTTGATTATGTTTTACAAGATGAACAAATGGCACGCATGTTCTGCATACCATTTGCAATGTGATAAATTAAGTCTGCAATACTGATTAACAGCAGAAATTACTGAGTGGATGATCTGATGGCACAGTACCTGATAGGATTATTTCCTTCTGTTTAGGTGTGTGTCTGCACAGAGTTGTGCACTTTATTGTCTCTGTGTTGCTACACGTGTGTTCAGAGATGCACAGTCTGAGGTTTTGCTGCAAGTTGTTTCTGTTTTTGTGCTGTGTTGAAATTGTCTAAGGTATGACAATTTGTGCAGCTGTCTCCACTTCTTTCACATCCACCTGAGAGGTAGATAAAGAGTGGAGTGAAGACTTGTCAGCCTGTTTGATAACGTTTAAATCAAAGTTCTGCTCGGGGCATACTCGTCTGAGCCCTTTGTTACAGAGATCTGCTTCACGCTGACAACAATCTCAGCTTGAGCTGCAAAAAGTTGAGCTGGAATAATTTTGAGCAGATTCAGAAAGCTTTAGAAATTGCTTAGCCTGTCAAAACTCTGAGCATTTTTTTCTTATTAATGCAATGTGGATTTACCTGTAGCCAAGTCACAAATAGGCTCTTTTAAAGGTTAAGTTGTAAAGGGTCTGAGAAAAAAAATGCTCAGAGGCAAAATTGGATAAGGAGGCTGAGTGTGCCTTTGCCTTTTTTTTAGTGTGGAGATCAGTTCATAGCAGGTTAGAGTAAAATGTCAAACAAAATTCTTACTTATTTGCAACATCTCAACAAGGTTGACTTGACCTGTGGGAAAGCACTGACATTTAAACTGTTCCAAATTATTCACCTGTGATGATTTCTAATTTACTTTTTCTAGTGTATCCAATGTGCTGTGTGATAGAAATGAGCCTTTTATTATCCCTGTATTTAGGTGTGACCGTGCACTTATCCCCCAGGGTGCACTCTTCACAGGTCACCAGGTCTATCAGAGAATTAACATGGATAGAAAGACAACTGCTGAGAGCATGACCAAAAGTTGACTCTGTTCATATGGACTTTTTCAGTGGAAGAAACGCTTCGCCACTCATCCAAGTGACTTCTTCACTCTCAGCTGACTGCAAATTTCTCCAACCTTATAAACAGTACATTTACATAATGACTAAAACTAGCACGACTAACGAACAATGACAATGTTCGTCGATGAACCTTATAATAAGGTCCGTCCATAAAACATTTCTCCCACTGAAAACACTATGTCCAGAAGATCAGGAATTAACCTTTTGTGATTTTCTTACCTGGATGATTGAGCATGCATCAAGATACTCAGAGCATGGTGGTGTAGTGGTTAGCACTGTTGCCCCACAATAAGATAGTCCTGCATTTTAATCATGTCTGGGGTCTTTCCATGTGGCATTTACATCTTCTCTCCAGCTACTTCCTCCCACACTCCAAACACACAGATGAGGGATGGATGGATGAATGGATGGATATGTATAATGCAAAAGTTACTCTATATATTTTTTTCAGGAACACGTTGTTCTAAAAACAAGAGCCTGGAAAATAACGGGGGAAATGCTTCTCTTTCAATAACCATAATAATTCATTAAAATTGTTATAATAATTAATCCAGTTGTATGTTAATCATCAAAGAGTAGTAAACAGTTACCAACTAAAGTGAAAAATTTAATATTTTAATTTCAGCTTTAATTAACATTTTCAAAAAGAATACTTGTGTGCAGAGCCGCCTTTTAATCTTTGTGAGACATTTGGGAAGTCACTCCACCTCAGCCTTCTAAGTTATCTAAGCTTATGGGATTTCATCATCTGCTTAATTGCTTACCCTAATTTGCTTTGCTGGCACTGTCACAGCCCCATTGTACTGTTATCAAATCACTGGGCACTGTAATTAACTTTACATTGTAACCACCACCTCTGTAGCTGGTGCAGGCCAACTGTTAAATGGTCTTCATTGTATTTTTTTTCTGTTCTTGCAGAATGAGTATACATGTCCACGCCCCCTACCCGGTGCCTGGTTGGGAGATTTGCCTACCATCCATTAACCCTCAAACGGACTGCTTTCGGATGATGCAGCAAACCACAGAGACGCAAGGAGAGAGACATATGCAGAGAACCCACCAGGATCCTACTCCCATAGTTCACATTTAAGGACACACTTACAATGGCATTCCACGCTAACAAAGGCAACCACGGACCAACACAAGGAGATACTACTGTCTTTTTTTTTTCTTAAAATTTTCTAATGTCTTTTTTTGGCCTGTGGTCTTTGGTCATTGGCTTTGCTCCTTTCCATCACATCGCTTCATCACTACACAGATACTGACACTGATGACTGTGAACATACAGTCTTACTGTATGTTGCACAGTAGACCTTTTGATGAAAACTCATGAGAACTAACTGGATGATTATGAACAACAACCAAGCTTATTGTATAGATATTAACAGCTTATTGTCTCCATGAGGACAACGAGGCACTGTACAAATTCAAGAGGCTTTAAAAAGTGTAAATCGAGCAATGAGTCGTCAATGAAAATGCACTGAACAAGTAATGGTGATTGCTCTGTTAACTAATCTGTGTATAATTTAAACTGGGCTTGCATATTTTGTTTCCATATGAAGCATCATTGTGTCACTTTTCACTTTTTTACTTTTTTTTTTTTAAGAAAGACTATTCAAAGGCTATGATGTAAATGTGCCTCACTGGAGCAGAAAATTTATGGAACGAGTCACTGAGTTTTTAAGCACCTGCCAGTAAAGAGGAAGTCTGTCGTCTGGTGGAAATTAAGTAAGCAGCTGGAATCTCCATTTGAAGCTTGTGGAAAATTGCCTGAAGAAGGCAAACTATCCCCCAGCCAATAACATTTGGTGAAGATGTTTGTTTATTTGCTTTTTTGAAATTATTTTTTTAAGTTGTCATTAACTGCAATCAAACTTCGACTGTCTTGTACGATTTGGAGGACAGCTAGGGCAATCAAACGCAAATGAGGGGATAAAAGAAAAAAAAAAAGGTCCTATCAAGGATAAAATGTGATTTTCTGAAATTATAATGTCGTTAACGTTGTACTTTATATATATAAATATATATATGTGTTTCTGCAGTTTTCAATGACAAATACCAAAGAGCCAAATGGATACTTCTTGGCTTTTGGCTCTCCCAAACAAGAGCCATAACAGGTCCAGGAATGGTTCTTTTAAATGAAATAACCCCCCCTCCCCCCAAAAAAATCTTAAGCTAGCCTCAACACCCCTGACGTACAGCAGTGCTCCATTACTGAATCGGCTTTTCTCATGTGTATAATGTGTATGTCTTTGTGGAAAAAAAAAAATCTTACAATTACAGTCTTCATAAGGAAGATAACTCTGAGCACTGCTTTACATTGTATGACTTTTGTTTAATACATGCTTCACTTTCCTTAAGATAATCAGCCCGCCTCTCTCCTCAAAGGAGAGTGCAGATGTTGCTGTGTGTAGTTCCTGCGTGTGCTTGTGTTTCATTCGTTTTGAGTTTGACACACCGAGTTTTGGATTGTTTGTTTTGGACCTCTCGACATAACCTTTCTACGGCGGAAAATGATAATTTTCTATTGTAAATTTCTGTCCCTCCTCCCTTGAATTTGTTGATATTTAGTAAGCAGCTGTATTCTTTATTCACTTTCGACAGTATGTTTTATAAAGAAAATAATGACTTTATTGGTGAGCAATATGAATTGGTCCAATTAAAATATTCATTAATCATTTTTCTTGGGTTCTAGCTATGTGTTTGAGGCATTTTCTTTGGCATGCACTGGAATTTAATAAGCTTGTACTTGTTTCATGTCTCCATTCACAAATGGTGAAATCTGTCTGATTCCCCACAGATCCTGAGTGTCGATGCTGTCACACCAACATTAGCCTCATTAATTTAGAGAGCAGAACATTGATCTCTGTTTGACCATTCTGTTCAAGGTGATGCTGCAGGCCTCTAATTATGCTTCCTGTGTAATGTGCTGCTATCTCAAGAGGGGGGCCCTGCTTAGTGAATTTGCTCCACGTTTGCTGCGCTTGGAACATGTCAGGCTGTCAGCTCAGAGGTCCAGATGGCCAATCTGTCGGGCAGTCTTCATACTCTTCTCTACCTTTATCCCCCTGCAACTCCCCCTTGCTCACACTTTCTTCCTCCTTGTTGGGTGCCCATACTTGAGTCGTTTTTAGTTTCTTTATATTATTATGACATACAAGGCCAATCCTATGCATATCAGTCTCACTCTTAATCCTTGCTTCCCCTCCATCTGCCTCAAAGCGTCAGTGGACTCAAATTTATCAAAGGAGATTTATTCCTGATACTATCTAGCTATACGGATTATAAAACTTGTTGCAAATAAGTTATGTTTGAAATGGGTAAAACAAAAAGATTAACACCATATACTTCAATAATGTAGGTTTCATTTCTGGGCTGTTCCATTCGAGTTCAGTAGCTTCACGGAGCTGATGAAGTCAGCTGGTCATGTGTCAAAGTTGTGAAATTTCCAATGGGAGTGAATGGAAGTGTGAGTGGTTCATTAATCATTGACAGCGCACAGTAGAGACAGACAGGAAACACGCAGAGAGACCGGGGTCGGCCTGCATCCAACAGTTAATATTTGTATCGATCAATGCCCCAGTTGTGTGCTTGATTAATTAATAGAATGATCTAGTCCAAAAAAGAAAATGGCACGATAGAGGAACTCTTCCAGCAAATGTGTTGTGAAATTTAGGAGCACAAAAAAAAAGATATTCAATTTGCAGTTATAGAAAATACAAATGCAAAATCTGAGACTCGGCAACGGTGGGCTTTGTTTGCAATTATAGACTTCCACAATGATGTCTGAAAACATTTAAATAGCATTTATCAGGCACCAATAGTAAACATTTACCACAATCAAAAAAAAGGGTTGCAATTTAACGTCTCTGCCATTTGTATTTTTAGAAACTCTAGACTAGCATTATTTAATTTTAGAGAACCCCTACTTTGAATGGCCTGTTCTTCTCTATTGTGTATTATACATTTCTGTGTTTGGTCATATTTTCTATATTTCTCTGTCGCCTTCTCTTTTTTCCCTCTGTCTATCTGTTTTATTCGCCACTGTTCTCTATGATCTCTGTAACTCAGAGTCCATCTCTGGCGCTGCATGTGCAGTGGCAGCACAGACAGGGCTGTATGCCTGAGAGCAGACACCATGCATAATTCATGTGATTTGGGCTCCCTGTTGACCCGAGTCCAAACAGTTGGCAGTCTATAACACTTGCACAGAAAAGCCCCAGGAAGAAGATGTTAAACTATGAGGGAAATACACTGATGCAAGATTCATCAAGCCAATCCCGTGACATCGTAAACAACGTAACATTCAGACATCATCGCTGTCATCTCAGGATATGAAAGAATAGCATAAAGTATCTGAAAAACCTTTGAAGCAGCTGCAGTCACATACACTGCAAGTAGGACAATGGATCATATGGAGAATTTAAAAATATGACATTACTCTAAGAATTTATGATAGCTTAAGAGATGTCAGATTATATGACAAATGAAAGAACAAAACTGAGAATGTATGTAAAGGCAAATTTTAAGAAGAAAGGAGACAAAAATAATGAGAGACCCTGTTGGGCCTTGATCTATAGTGTTTTCATCCATTGGAGGGCTTCCAATTGGAAAAGAGATGCGAGAAAACATTCTTTTTCCCTTCCCTGCTCTTGGTCGTCACTTCAAACAAATGTGCCACTAATAAATTTGCCTAGTCTCAACCTGACTCACAACCGAATCATTCTTTTTTTTTTTTATGTAAGGCATGTTAATTTGATGTGACACTGTAATCTGAAATTTCATTCCGACAGTAGGATTTGTATTTTTTTTTAATGTTAAAATAGCACTGTGTCTGCTTCTCTAGGAATGACTTCTAATCACTCATAACCTCATATAATCTCCAACTTGGAGCACAGCTCACCAGGTGGCTCTCACTTTAATTACGACTGCTGGAGCTATTAGTCAGCCACTGCCTGAGAGAAGTGAGTTAGAAGCTAAAATATCGAACTCCATCAGTGAACGAATGGCAAATCTTTACGTAAGCACCAGTCACATCACTGCTTTCACAACACACCAGGAGTGGCGTTCAGCAGATCATCTGCTTAAGCCATCTGCTCCTTGCTGGGGGACTGCAGGGTTCTCGTTGAGATCATCTTCAGTCGTTGCCAATTGCTGGTCTGATATTTTCACATGCTTCCATCTCCTTTCTTTTTTCTTTTTTTCTGAGGGAGTCGGGGCACCATATATACCATGACCATGTATGACTGATCCTTTAAAAGACATAACTGAGCACATATTGAAATACACCTCTGGAGCATTTTCTTAGCTTCGTTAACTTTTGGGGCCCTACAGTACCTTTACAGTAACATAAAGGAATACCTCTTTACATGATGTCTTTTTAGAGCAATTCCAAAATTAACAAATGTCAAGAAAATCATGCATCTCAATTAGCCATATCTCATACAATGTGAAGTTAATGTGTGCTATTTTTACATCAACACATTATATGGTATGTGTATCTGTGGGGCATCATTGAAAAGCCACGTCTCAACAAAGCATCTCCACCCACTGCAGGGAAAAACATAATGAGCTGGAATGAATAATTTTAAACCGAATAATTCACATAACATGTAGCAGAAAGCTAAGATAGGAGGAGCTGATAATAATCATCTCATGGGTATAAAAATCTACAATCTATGTCTTGGAGCACTAAGCCACTTTTTTATGAAGTGCGATGTAGAATTTGCAAGAAGCAGATCACCATAAAGTACCTGAACTTAAATGTTACCCCTGAATGCAACTGGACTGAGGAGCAAAGTTTACACATATACACGGTTTAAAAGAAGCTCAGTAGTTTAGATGGATTTATCAAAACGGGCTCTCTTATGACCACATTTGAGATAAAATATGTTTCTAATGTTTACCTGACTATGAAATGTGCTGAGAAAATGTGAAGAGGACAACGTCCTGTACACAGGGATTTTCCCAACAAAGCCAATTGTACAGCCAATAATTGTATGTGCAAGACAGCAGTAGACTTTACATTCTGCCACCAGCATATGAGCTTCTGCTAAGCCAAGAGGAAACAATAACCAGCAAAATCAATGTATCCCATAATATTCTTGCATGAGCACAATAAACCACAATAAAACCTTCGTGTTGGAGCTGCCAGACAGTGCAATACAGAAAATTTAGGTCAGCCACAATAAATATTAAACTCATTATCAATAAAATTGCAAAAGCAGCGCCTAAAGTGAGTTCAGCATTTGTGCAGAAATTAATACCCAGGTCACAAAGGACATCAACCCACCATAAAAATTTACTTATTTATTTAATTTTTTTAATTTATTTATACATATATATATATATTGCTAACTGTAGCTTGCGGCATCTAAAGTGATAATACGCCCTTCTTTGGGAAAACCAAGGTGTTGACAACAGCAGGGAAAGACAAACTGAGCCTGTTAGAGTATGGCGACTGATATGACTAGCCACCCCCTGAGGAGTACCCTGTTTCTTTTTCCTCCTCTAAGCTGTTTTGTGTGTTCACTTTGTTAGCAGGCTAGGCAGCTTAATAACAGAATTAAGAGTGTTATGTTAGATGCTAAAGCAAATTTAAGCCTGCACAGCAGAACAAATCAGTGCTTTTAGTTTACCTGTGGACATGTGTGCTTGAGATTATCATGCACACTGGCCACACATTTTATTAAGTAGTGTTTCTGGACAGTTTCATGCGCTAGTGTACTACACTGCGCATGCTCAATGACATTATTGATGTTCTCCAGAGTGATGGATGTCTGGAGTATTTCTCCAAAACAAAGGGGTTTAAATGTTGACTCAATTAAACGGACAAAGTTACATTAGGGAGGCTGGGTATTTGAAATGAGACTGGAATTCAAATATGCCTAAAAACACATGGATACAACCTTGCATATTATTTGTTCCATGAAACTGAACACATAGTTGTGGTAGTTATGTCCAAATTAAATCAAGTTTACCAGTAATCAAAGATGAAAACAATAATCAAAATCTTGTAAAATAAATTAAATAAATGCCGTGATAAGATTTATAGTCATGACTTGCATGAAGATGCTTAAGAATAAAATGAGGGTTTTTTTTTAGATTTTATACAGTGAGAGCTCTTCAAAAGTCTAGGGTTTGCAACTTCAAAAGCTGAGCTCTCTGTGGAAACACTAAGAGACTTATATGGGCTGACCTAAAAGGTCAAGGCCTTCTAGTCCATTTAAAGCTTGCAAAACAAGCAGGAGAAGCCCTTCAATTCTGAGTTAAAATGAAAGCCAGCAATGAGAATGAAGCACAAGGATAAGGACCTGCCAGTTCCTTGAACAGAAAGCAAATAAGCAGCATTTATACATAAGTCAGTACCCCAATCAGTCACATCGGTTAACTCCCATAAACAAAACTGTATATACAATCTATTGTATATTACACTCAAGTGACTGCAGTAATAATGGGCAACACTGTGGTTAATTGTTAGAACAACCATATGTAATCAGTCTCAAGGAAAGCTAAGCAAAAAGCTTTGATTAGCAGTTAGTATGCCCCAGATAGCTAACTGTTATGCACAAATAAGAGGATTGTTCTTCACAATGATCAACTTCTCAATTTTGATGCGGAATAAACTAGATGTTTGAATGCCCTTGAATAGCAGCAGAGTTGGGAAGTAATAAAGTATAAATACTAAATTGCTATACTTAAGTAGAATTTTAAAGTATCTGTATTTTACTTCTTAATTTCAATCTCTAAAAACAGAGTAAAACTTGTTTAAGTGGCATGTAATTTTAAATGCAGCATTTTAAACAGCTCAACAAATATCCACAAACACAAAACTGTTCCTGTGTAGTTTGCCACACAATGTCTGCTAGCTAAAAGTATAACTGCTTAATTTCCCAGGGAGACAAAAAAAAAATAACTTCACTCACAGATGAAAGAAAGAAGAAAGAAAGAAAGAATAAAGATGAAAGAAGATGTAAGAAAGAAAGGACAGGAGAATAAGAAGAGAGATTTTTGTCAAAGGTAGGTAATGCTCGGTGACATTCATTAAATTTGAAAACTAAATCTTACATTTAATGTTCTAATTTATTCTAGGGGTTTGGAGATCAGCCTTGATAGCTCATGGAATATCTGGTTATGTCTTATTGAATTCAGTTGGCTAAAATCACAAAAAGCAATGTATCTCAGCAGGCAATAGGCAAAAGTGAACAGACCTTTGTTTTGGTTTGTTTTTACTTTTAAATAGTTTGATTGGTTTGTTTCTGCCTGTGTTCTAAATAATACATGTTCATGACGTGTGAATTCATTAGAATTTAACTTAAAGTTTGTATTCTGTTATATTAATATTGGTTTTATTATGATGTTAATATGAAAGATGAGGATTTAGTTAAATTTGTAAAATAAAATGTAAAAAAGATTATAAATAGGTGCCAGAACAGCTAGTTTTTACTTTTATGGTTTGAATCAATTTCACAGCCTTCTTTACTTACCACTTATTAGTTGATACTTTACTTAAAATTTAGTTTCATTCATCTCAAGGCACTTTATATTGTAAGGTAAAGACACTACAGTAATGTAAAGAAAACCCCAATAATGAGACAATGATTATGAGCAAGCACTTGGCAACAGTGGTTAGGAAAAACTTCCTTTTAACAGGAAGGAACCTCTGGCACTACATGGGGGTGGGGCAGACATCTGCCATAATTAAATTGGGTTGAGGGCAAAAGAAGAGAGCAGAGGAGACAAAAATCCAAAATCCTGTATACATAGAGGGTGAAAAGAGGTAAGTATCACAGAAATTTTCAGTTTAACAGGGAACCAATGAAGAGTATGGGAGAAATGTCTCTTTCTCACTGCAGCATTTGGGATCAGTTGAAGTATTTGTTGAACTTTTAGAGCAACCTGATAGTAATAAATACAGTAGTCCAGCCTAGAAGTATTAAATGCATAAACTAATTTTTCAGTATCACTCTGATTAAGATTTTTTTCTAATTATAGAAATATTGCGCAAATGCAAGAAAGCAGTCCTACATATCTGTTTATCAAGCACACTGAGACACATATTATGGTAAAAAAAAAAAAAAAATCAATAAATATCTCTCATAGTGTCGTGGGAGGCCAAGGTAAAGCTATCCAGTGTAAGTATCTGGTTAGGCACCATGTTTCTAAGAATTTTAGGGAAGCATTAGGGCCTTGATGTCTTTAAGATATTCTTCTAGTTTAACTAATTGTGTCTGTCATCTGGCTTTATAAAGCTGACTGTCATCTGCAGAGAAATGAAAATTTTATGTGATGTCTTCTAATAATAATGGCTAAGAGAAGCATGTATAATGTAAATGTTCCCAGAAAAGAATCCTGTGGAACTCCATAATTAACCTTAGTGTGTGAAAAAAAACGAAGTGCAATACCTTTAATGCATACGGCATGTTCTAAGCACAAAAATCAAAACAAATGTCATCCATAGTCTTCACTTATGTTGTTTCTGTATTTTGATGAATTCTGAATCCTGACTGAGACTTTTCAAATAAACCAACCCTCTGCACCTAATCATTTGGCCTTTTTAGAACTAGTTTTCAAGGATTTTAGACATAAAAGGAAGATGGGAATAGGGATTGACCTATAATTACCTGTAACAGCTGAGATTGATCATATTTAAGATAAAAGTATTAATTAATGGTAGGAATTCTTTGACCAGTATTGTAGGAATGGGGTCGAATAGACCCCATGGTTTGGAGTATTTAGATCAGATTGGCTGGAACCTCCACTGGTACTTGAATAATTAAGCTAGTCACCATAAGCAGCACAAGCAAACTCCAGATATAGAACCTTAACCTTAAATAACTGCAACCTGAAGAACTGTTTTAAACAAAGACAAAAGGCCAATATGATAGTTCAGTTTGTAGGACATATTCTTAACAAAAAAAGAAGTAAAATGATTACAAAAAACATACAAAATGGGGGGGGGGGGGGGATGTATCACTACTTTATCACTATTTTACACTTGAAGACTCAACTGAAGATTACAGTAACAGAAAAAAAATTCAATGGTGACATCTAGCACATTTTTAAAGCCAACAGAGATTTTTGTTTTAATTCTCACATTCAATACCTGATATTATGTCCCACCACTGTGCAATGTCACCCAGGGGATTTATACAATTGATTATCTGCTAAAGTGTGCAGGTTTAAGAGAGCTGGGTATTTTCCACATAGCAATGATGTTCCCAAACACACTGGGATCAATGAGATGTGTCTCCTGAGGGAAGGATATTAAGCATAAATGCAGCCAAAGATCGAATCCTATGAATGAGAGAGCATATTTGTAGAGCTGCTCCTACTTCCTATTTTATGAGTTAGGCTAAAAGAATTTCATGTATTTGAGATGAAAAAATGGGAAAAAAAATGGACTGAGTGGACACTATGACTGAGACAGCCTCGGTCAGTCTTTGACACACCGGACTACAGAGTATTAGAAATAAGAACCAAGACAAAAACACACTACTGTGCAAACATTTGAGCTACCACACCAATCATTTCTTTATATTTCGCTGACACATGTGCAAACATACATGGAAATAAAGCATATGTCAAAACAGAGCTTGTGCAACTCTAAAAACATTGAAAGTCCATGTTCTAATATGCCTTCCTTTATTCGTCTCTGTTAGAGAAGAGCGTTGTTAGAATTTTTCTAAATAGTCTTCAGGAACAAATACTCTGAGTTTCTTAAAATACAACGTTCTTCTCTCGCTGTTGTCTGCTTTTGGTTCTGTTCAGTGTCAAGATGAACAAAAATTGCTTCAAGAATGTTAAGGCATGAGCTCTGCAGAGCCCAATTCATAGTTTTCCATTATGGTTTTTTTTTTTTCATGGATAGTGCAATGCCTTTTTGCTTTTTTGAATGACAAATGAAATGGGCTGGAAATGTTCTTTTTTTCTCTCAGCAAAACATGCTTTTTTTTCTTCTTCTTCTTCTTTTTTTTTTTTTTTTTTGCTTTAATCAGTTTAAAATGCTTGTTAAAAAAAGCCAAATGACTATAACAAATAAATATCCCCTCAAAAACTGTAACCATTTACTTTACCATTTAATTTGGCATTCTGTCATTTTTCTTTAGGGTTGTAGGGACCCTATCTCACACACTTAGATAAGTGGTAATCTGTTTTTCACAAGCCACACATGAATGCAAATGAATATGTTGCTGTTATATGTTTTTGCCTCACATTATTTTCACACATTTCTCAAAGCAGCTTGAGACCACTCCCCACTGAATCACCCACCAACATATATAATAAAGTAAAGAATATTATTTATAGGTACCCTTACATCATGTCAATATGGTCCAAAATCTCGATTTTCAACACATTACTTAATCTAATTGGAGAAGAATTAACAAAAGGGGTCCAACTTGGTTCTAGCAAAGTGTCCAGTACCTAACAAAGTGATAAGTGCGTATATTAATTTAACTTGCTATCACCTTACTAACTATAGTTTCAAAGTATTAATTTGTGGTGAAATCTACATTTTACATCGTTTTGAAACATTTCTCATAATTTGTAAATTATTACAAAATCTCTCTTGTAGCTGAAAAAGTGCTAATTGGTATTGAACTTGATGTACCTTCTTAAGTTGTTGTTTATATTTGCAAAACAGAAGGAAACTGAAACTGAAACAGTGTACAAAATGACGATGACTGCTTTGTGATTTCTCTGAGTGAACAACTACGGTACGGTATTCATCCATTTTTTTAAACTTCTGTATATATTTATATGAGAATTAAATTAAATTTTATTGAATAAAAGGAGAAAGTAATACATCTTCATGCGTGGGACTTACATGTACCTAAGGACAGAACGTTGGATTTGTTAATGGGATTTCCCCAACAGGTGAAAATTAAAGTGACAGGAAGTGGATGGGGCGCTTTAGTTTTTGGCTGACTGAGACGACGGACTTGTCGTCTCATGTGCTACAGCGAATGCCAAATACAAAGGCATTCGCTGTAGCACATGAAGGAGGAGCTGGGACCCAGGCTGGAGCAAAAAAGAGAAAGAAAACCAACCATTTGTAATCGCGACCTCTGTCAGTTCAAGCTAATAGCTAAGCAATGTTTTCTTTAGCGACAGGTTCCCTTCCTCTCCACTCTCTTGTGCTGCTTTACGTCGAGCTCTGTCAACTCTCCGATGATGATGGCATCAGTTATAATCAAGTCATTTTGAAGATTATGCCCTTGTTAAAGACAGGGGTGGGATCTGTAGATTTTATTATGAGGACAGATGGTAGCAAACGCTGTTCACCCTAATGCAGCATTCAAAGATCTCTTTCCTCGACTTCCACATAAGAAATAAGTTATGATTCAGTCTCACAGTGAACATGGTTTAATTCACAGAAGGCCAAGTTACTGCAGCTGGCCTTCGAGAGAACTTACCGCAAGTGCACTAATGAGTGGAGAGATGCTATCTTCACACGGCTTAACTGAGACTTTGTCCGCCTTCAGCTATTTCAAGGGTGAGTGAAATTTATTTTTACCCGTTGGCATTATTGTGCTTCTGTTCTTCTGTGGCTTAATTTGTATATGGCTCACAAACACGGCGCTTTCTTGTTTAGTCCATGCTGTCACTGTCCGTGGTGCTAAATGCGCAGGCAGTGAGTGTTTTTATTTCTGTGCTGTGTCAGTATCTAATTTCCTTGTGTATTCATGAATGACAATTCATTCTGAATCCCCTTGAATGCTTGGCAGCACGGTCACTTCTTTTGGTCTAGCTGCCTGGGTTGTTGTCTATACACCCAGTTGCTATTGCAGTCTTTTTATGACTCCTAGTACAAATCTGCCTGTATGCGCGACAGAAACGTTAGGTTGCTGGTTGTGTTTCAGCTGTGACTGGTTTAAGTGAAACTCGGAACAACGGTCTCGGTTGATCTTTTGCAAGCTAGCAAAGACAAATAGCAAGGGATGGCACCAGACTGCCTCTCAGCGATCAGTGGGTGTTAGGAGATACTCATCAGGGGAGAAAGTGGGACTGATAAAAATCCTGTCAATCAAATATGTGCAATCAAGTGATAACGATTAAACAACTCTGTCTTGTAAGATTCTATTGCATGATTTATGTAAATAGTTATGTATAAAATAAATAGTAAAGTAAACCAATGTGATGACAATGTTTTGAAGGCTGCTTACCAGATTTCACACATCAGTTATAGTGCTACCACATGTCAGAGAAAAAGAAAAGTATATAACCAGGTAGCTCCAGATGGAAGTTGCTGAAGAATTCAAGTTGAAGAAATGAGCACTCCTGCTAGGGCTCTTTTGCCAGTCTCCATTTTTATTTATTTATTTTCTTAAGGCTCGTGAATTGATGATCCTTTGGCTGCTTTTAACATAAATGTATCTCTGACCAAATTGAGTTGGATTGTGAGTTTGATGCACAAGCTGCATATATTTTGATCCTTTCTTTTTTTGAACCCTTCACCATGAGTCATTGTCAGACTCTGAGGAGTGAAATGTGCAATTGGCACAGCATATTTCTTATTGCTGGTTTAAGGCGGAACATAAATATCAACGTCAAAGTCAGATGTGCTATATGCCCATCATTTTCCTCCAGACTTTTTCTCTCTTCAAAGAAAAAACAAAAACAAAGTTGGATGTTGGTATTGGGTACAAATTGGTGCTAGAAAATCATCTTGTGTACATTACATTCTAAAGCAAACTGGCCTCTCACTTTGAAGTGAGCAAATTACAGCTGCTAAGGCAGCTGCATAAATGACTCATCAAGTTTTAAAAGGGCCTCAAAAATCACAATGTTTGTTGAATACGGAAAGTCTTCTCTGACAAATGGCAGCAGAGGCCACGAGGAAGTCCTTGCAAGCATTAACTCAGTGGCTCTTAATAGGATATTTGCATAACAACAATAGAAAAGACAGGATAAACATAGTTGCCGGCATTGTATCAACTAATTGCTCACGTGATGAATGCATCCTTTCTTCCAGTTTTGAATGATTGCATTAATGTTACACTTCTGTTCACAAGCCACTGCGTGTCTAAATAAATAATAATGACATCTATTTAAACTAGCTGAGCTCTGGTTTAGTCCTGTGAAAAGCGTTGTTTATGGCTACACACTCTGATTACACTGCACTGGAAAGTATGAATTTTTAAAGTTGGTGCTATTGTCCAAAGGCAAACACCATGGCAAGTGATTTGACAGGTGTTTAGAAGCTACAGTAATTACAGGAACATTACTTAGAGACTTTGCTGGAAATGTTATTTTGTTGTTTTTTTCTTTGATATTGGATTAAAAAAAACAAAAAAAACACTCCACAGTGCAAAATCTCAAGAGATAGTAAAAAATGCTGAACTACTAAGATTTTAAAAAAAAAAATGCTGAAATTTGTTTTGGGTTTTTAATTCATGTACCACAATATCGTGGCTTCAGTCTTCAGTCATTTTTTTTTTAATACAAAGCATTTATACTTCTAATGAACTATGGCATTATTATCAGTGATGACTACAGCTTTAGGTTTTTGCATCCATGCTTCTACACTTGTTAAACTTTAACATGGACACTGTATGCTGATGCTTGTTTTAAAAATCTGAGCCATTTTTGAGGCTCATGTTTCACTTATGTTGCACATATTCATTCATATTCATTCAACACAATAGTTTGGCCAACTATTTTCTACTTAGCACTCATGATATCCCAATGGGAATGGGGATGGGAATGCATTTATCATTAAAATCAAGAGTTGGATTTCAACTAATGATGGAAAAAATAGCAACCGACGAGGCAAGCTGCCATTCTCCCAGATGGTACATTAATGCATGTGTGCCTTGAGCTGGCAATGGCATATATCATAATAAGGTACCTCTGAGAGCAATGAGGAGTTCTAAAATAGTAGTATCCACTATACTTTGCCTATTATTACAGACGACTCATAGAAAAATGTACATAAGCATCTTTTTGCATTTTATACTGAATTTATTCAGAATTTACTTACACGAGAACCATTGCACTGATTTCAGCTCATTTGACTCTCAACAAAAAATGGGTCAGTAATCAAATGCTAGAAATAATCAAACATGTTCAGAAATGTTAGGACACTGGCCTTGATTCAGCCTGGGCTGGCTTAAGTGAAACCAGGGAGAACAAGCAGTTGATTCAGTGCAAGCTAGTGATAACAAAGACAAATGGAAAGCCATGGCGCCGAAGGAGTCACAGACTACCATACGGTGATTAGTGGGCATTTGAGATTCTCTCTAGAGGAGACATTGGAAGTGACAAAAATCCTTTCAATCGACTGTGCAATCAAGTGATAGCGATTAAATCACCTTCTCTTGGATATGTCTATTGTGTGACTGGTTCATCCATCTTACGCTCGTTCATCTTTTTATGGTTTTGTGAGTCAAAAAGCATGCTTGCGGAATAGCTTCAAACCTTTCATCCAGATGTTATGGCTTTGTGTGAGACCTCAAAAGGCATACACTGTAAAGGCTTGATTTTCTCATGACAAACTGGTTTTAACTGCAGTGCAGACCTTTTTTCCCTCCTATTTAGATAAATAGTTTCTTTGAGTTTTCTTAGCTATTTTTCCCAAAGGCTCTACCACATATATCTGTATTCACCAGTCACTTCATTAGTTACACCTTGCAAGCAAAAGTAGAGTACATGTAAAAGTCCTGCATTCTGGTCCTAATGTCAGAAGCACAACCTTATGACTTTGGGGGGGGGGTTAGGGCGTGTTGTTGTTGTTGTTTTTGTAGTCACTGCTAGTGAAAATAATTTAGATTCCAGCAAAACCTTTAGCTTTTTACCCGTCAGCCATAAAAGGCTGATGGGGTATTGCTGTCACCTTGCCCGGCTGGCAGGCGGGCACTGTGGAAGCTTGTTAATGCAATAACTCGAGAACGAGACCATTCAAATTGATACCACAGGTGCAACTACTAAAAACCTTGAATGGAGTTCCAATTTCAGTGGTCTGACCTCAAGATCAGAGGTCTGAGGTCAAGTTTTTTGAAAATCTTGTGAAATATATGTCCCAATATATTTTTCATCTTGTTTTAAATTCTTTTTTTATTTATTTATTTTTTGTTTAAATGTACTCTTGGTTTACAGGGGTTTTTGTTATCACAGCAGAAGGTTGTGCTTGATTGGTGAAAAGGCATTTGTGAAGTACTCCTTGATCTTTAATACTGTATTTTGATGCTGAGCCAGCAGAAGAACAGCTCCTATTGTCAGTGTTGCTATAACCACAGATTTGCTTGTAGGCAGGTACACGAGTTTGGATGATGGTCTTTGCTTAGAAGCACTTTTGACATTTTGAATGCGCTGCAATTCTTCCTGCTCCTCTGTGGTCAGAGTCATGTGGGACACTTCAGCCAGCACCTCCAGAGCAGCTCTCTGACCAGCTTGCACCGCTCCATCCATGTATCCACACCACTGGGTGGCTGTCTCTGTTCCTGCCCAATGTATCCTGTAAATCAAGAAATTTAGTGAGTCATATACGAATACACACAAAGTTCAGTGTTCCCTTGCCCTTGTCAATACATGATAGTAGTGTATTTATGATGTCTTAAGAAATAATAATACAGATGATGGTGTTGACTGATAAGATTTCCTCTCACTAACAGATACCGTTTAAGATTCACCCATAAAACAAATCTCTCCTGGCTTAGATGGTCTATGTCTCTGTGCACTGAAATCTCCCACTAACAAATTAGATTAGGTCTGTTCAACGCTGTAGGGCTTGCTGCCTGGAAAAGCACAGTAACGATGTTGCTCCTCATCCACCTCTTCTGCTCCATGTAATGACAACACGGCCAAGAATGTCTTATAAATCTTACAAATTACTGCCCATGGTATCCAGCTTTATTGTCAACATCAGTCTGCATCATGTGCTTCGGATCTGAACATATTGCTGTCAAAGTAAGCTTCAGCCAGACTGTGCAGGGCTATGTCACTGGTAAGAGTCTATCATTGTGGGTTTCTCAAAAGAAGTGCTGTGTTGTTGTTGATCTAATGAAAGAAATCTGGAAAACAAACGCTGGTCATAGACTATAGAGATACCATGGCAATGCATGTAGCTGCTTTCATCTGGTGATCCCAAAGACACAGTAGACAAAAGCTCTGTTAAATAGGGGTGGTTTTTGATTATCGATTTGTCGATTAAAATCGATTTTAGCTTGAATAAAGCAATATCGATTCATTAAGATCCTGAATTGATTTTTAAATATACATGTATTTTGTCAGAAATGTCAGAATCTCAGGTTAAACCTCACAAAACTATTTCAACAACCACCAAACAGCTAGACAGCAAATGACAGCAGGTAAATGGATTGTGCAAAAAGACGTAAACACAAAGCGCGAATCTGACGCATCAGAATCAGTGAGACGTCGGTTTTCTCACACCGTCGCGGCTGAAAGCAGACAGCTCAAAGATTCTGATGCGTCGGATCCGCGCTTTGTGTTTACGTCTTATTTTGCAGAGATCCAAACTAAGCTTCACATTACGCT